GTACATACAGGAGCAAGCCTCCTGCAAGGGTATGGCCCTGGGGCAGAGTTCAAGGACTCTCGTCCCCGAAGTACATACAGGAGCAAGCCTCCTGCAAGGGTATGGCCCTGGGGACAGAGTTCAAGGACTCTCGTCCCCGAAGTACATACAGGAGCAAGCCTCCTGCAAGGGTATGGCCCTGGGGACAGAGTCCAAGGACTTGTCCCCGAAGCACATACAGGAGCAAGCCTCCTGCAAGGATGCGGCCCTGGGGACAGAGTTCAAGGACTCCTGTCCCCGAAGCAAATGAAGGAACAAGCAACCATGAAGAACATGGCCCTGGGAACAAAACACAAGCACTCCAGTCCCCAGAGTAGATACAAGATCTTGCCTCCGGAACGGGCCAGCACGCCCCGAAGACAGTTCAAAAACACTTATGATTTATTCTACACAGAAGTAAAGAAAAGCAAAACACTACTGTATACAGAAGAAGACAGAAGAAGGAAAAGACTAGTTATTTATTTCCAAAAAATAGGGGCTTTGCGTCCCCAAAGGCTACAAAAGGAAAGCAGAAGGGGTACAATCAAAAAGGGGAAAAAGAGAAAAGCAGCTTCATCGGGCTCCAGGCACCTCCAGAACTTCAGCCGAGGGCGAGTCAGCGATAAATGCTTGGGAAGCTTCCGGAGCAGGCAAGAGGAGAACTTCGGCAGCAGGGACAGCTTGAACGGCTTGAGCAGCATGAGGTTCAGGAGCATGGTCCGACGGAGCGTCCTCGGACAAGTCCACTATCACCGTCTCAGGAGCATCAGTCGAGATCTGCATCGGCGTAGGGGCTTCATCCTCGGCAGCAACCTGTGCTTCTGCCTGTGCCATCTCTGCCGAGGGCACATACTTGTGCACTTGGAAGAGAGGGGAGTCTGATGGGACTCCGGCAGCCTGGAGTGCCTCGTCCCATCCTTTCTTGAAGAATTCTTTGCTGTTTTCCTCAAGAGCGGGGAGCACGTCATCGGCAAACTCCTCCAGGAGTTGTTCCTCCGACTTCCGGTTCAGCTCCTCGGCCCTGATCCTGTCTAGCTCCTGGGTAAGGGCCAGACAGCTTTCCTCGGAGCCCACTGCCCTCTCCTCCGCAGCAGAGAGCCGCTGCGTTTGCTCAGTAATCCTCCTCTCAGCATCGGCAAGTGCGGCACTTAGCTTCTCAGCGCCCAACTTGGCCGATTCAGCGTCCTTGAGGAGCTGCTCTATTTGGGCAGCCTGCCCCACCAGGGTAGAATCCCTGGCAGCAACATCTTCCGTTGCCCGAGCAAGGGCAGCTTCCGCTTCCGCCTTCTGATCCGGGCCCTCTGAAGGTCCATCCTGGACGCGTGGTACCGGCCAGCAATGATAGAAATCTGCTGGGTAGCCTGTAAAGGAAGGAAAGAGTGTTAAAACACAAAAATAGAAAACGAGAGTGAAGGGATCAAAACGGGAATAAACTCACCACCAGGGAGTTCTGGATCATGGAGCGGAACAACACGTTGGTTGATCGCCCCCGATGAGCCTCCATGTCAGCCTCAAAATGCAATGTCTCACTCACTGCATGGGCGACATGGGGATCCTGCAGAATGGAATCGTCGACCCTGATCACTCGGTTCATGTGATCAGTGGCCCGAGGATTCCACACCGCGGCCTCCACTGTGGATGGGAGGGAAGGAGTAGTCTGCTGCTGTTGCTGCTGCTGCTGTTGCTGTTGTCGGGGCTGTTGTTGTTGTTGCTGTTGTGGGGGAGCAGGCGGTAATCCACGATCCCTCCCGCTTTGATGTTGAGCGGGAGGTGCCCTGGGTCCCCGGCTGAGGCCGTCATGCCGATGCTTGACCCTTCTCTCCTCTTCCACCTGAGGATCCCGGTCTCGCACCTGACCCTGACCGGGAGCCCTCGAAGAATTGGCGGAACTGGTTCCTGCCGGAGTACCGCCGGTCGTCCCTCGACCTCTCCCGGCTGCGAGGGTTTGCCTCTGCCTAAGAAACCCCAAATTAATGCGAGGGGCGTTGGACATCGCTTCCTCGAGAGCGTCTTCGGCGTCCAAAGATTGGAGAATTTGAAAATCGGGCCACAAGTCGCCTCCCGAAGTCCCCACCTCGGCGTCCGAAGGAGCAACGTCCTCTCTGACCCCGACCTCCTCAGCAACTCCCTCTACCTCTCCCTCTGAAGCCCGATCCGGGTCTTCCTCCAAGTTCTGCTCGACCTCTAGCCTCGCCGCCTGATCAAAGAGCTCTGACCACTGCGAAGGCTCGAAAGGTTGAGGGAGCTGTGAGAACTTCTTGTACCCGGGGGTATAGTGCAGCAGATTATGGGCAGCTCGGCCAAATCCGTCGGCGCCCGTGAAACTCCAAACCGTTACTAGGTCGGCAAAGTTGACCAGCGACCGAGGGGGTGGAGCTGTTTCCCGAGAAGGAATATCTGCACAACAAAAAAGATTGTCATAAACATGAGAAGTCCCAAGAAACAAATAAAGAACCCGAAGGAACCGACGTACTTGTCGTTCTCCATTCCCGAGGGCAAAATAAGTCATTGTACTCGGGACCAACACCCCTCTCCCAACATCCCTTGAAGATCAAGATGTCGTCCTTGTACCCCTTGTCCGAATCAGGAAGATGGGTTACAAGGTACATGGAGGGGTCCCTGGCTTTGAGGTAGAAGTGTTGGTGAGGCATGACTCTTAGGAGGGAGTAACAGAAAAGGAGATCATTGAGCCCAATATTCACCCCGAGGCGCCTATTGAGCTCTAGGACCCCCATAATTATTCGAAAGACGTTGAGGCAGCATTGCCCGGGGAAGAGACGGAAGCGAGACAGGAACTGAAGAAGCAGGGGGGGTAAAGGAAACCTAATTCCACCCTCTATGATGGCCTTGGTATAGAAAGGCATGGCATCCGCGGCCCCGAAGGTAGGAGAGTTCAACAAAGGGTTAAAGTCCACTACGTCCACGCTCGGGGGGATGCCATACTTAACCCTGAACCTATCGATCTGCGCCTCGCCTGTCACCTTGTATTTCCCTGACCCCGAGGGACCAGCCGATGGATTCTCGGGAGCAGGGCGACGACGAGGCATCTCTAAAAGAAAGGGAAGGAAAAGGTGTTCTCTCTTGAAAACCTGAGGAAGTTCCCCGAGGGTTTAAATCAAGACGTACCGACCGGATGACACCACCGTTCAATCGGAAAACAAAAAGGCTAGGAGGACGATAAAGAAGAAGGTTGTGAAACTCACCCGAAAACGTCGAAAACGGAGTTTTTCAGGAAAAACTTTAAAATGACTCGCACCGGAAAGACCAGGAGTCAACAATGGGTTTACTGGCTGTGATTTTAAGAGAAAACGCTGTCGACGATGGCTGAGAAAACAAAAACTCCGGCGAGCAGATCAGAAAAGGCGTATTCTGGGTCAGAGATCGGAATGGCAAAACGATGGAAACCAGGGAAGAACCCCCTTTATATAGGGGGGAAACTGTCATCATTGGGCGGGAGAACCAAAACAGCGCATTTAATGCGCACGACGTCCCAAGCCGGGGAAAGCTGCTCGAGGCCATAATGAAGGACGGATGGCAGTTGGAAAACCCTTCGTCTCCTGACAACGCGTGTCCTCGGCGTCAGAAGATCGAAGGCTGGGGGGCAGTTGATGGGACTCTTCTGAAAAGCCTTATGATGAAGACACGTGTCCTCGGGGTTTCTAGAACAATGTTGCTCGGGTTCAAGCACCATCGGCAAAAGGCGTCCTCTCCCCCGAGGTACCTCTCATATAGGATCACATATTCGGTACATTTTACAACAACACGTGTCCTCGGTCACCGTGTAGCTCGGAAACATACCGCCCTCGGTCCCCGAGGTGAGTCTTTCCTCGGTGCCGAGGGTCACTCCATCCTGGACGCTTCCTCTACTCCCGGATAAAGCTACTGACGTACGGGACATCAGCCTATGCCAGTCTAGACTATTCATCATAACCTCGTCTTAACACAAGTAATGTCAGAACACGCTGGAATACCGACGTCACAGCCAATAATGGATGGACGCGTGGCAAATAATGTCACATCAGAAGCAGACAAACTGCATGCCGTCGCTGACACGCGACTTGGGAAAGCAAACAAATTAATTGCACCCTTCTGTTGACGAGACCGCATTCAATGCGGTAAGGTTCGGATATGAAAGGCAATAAATGCTCCTATTACAGAGCATTTATTGCATCCTTCCCGAAAGGATCATATTGTACCGTCGGCGTCCCGACGGCTCAGAATTGATTGCTCGGGGGAGAAGACATTCCTCATCAAATCAATACACACGCTACCTGTGCCTGATGATCACCTGCTGACCACACTGACAGCAATCATGAGCTTCTAAGGTATAAATACTCCTCCCAAAAGGCAAAGCCGGTATGCAATCAAAAACTCACTACTACAAAATATCCTTATCAGTGTTTTCTCCTTCCTCTCTCTCATTCAAAGACTGACTAGACCGTCGGAGGGGATACGCCGGAAAACACTCCGGCGCCCTTCTAACTTGTTCTCCTTTGTTCCAGGAAATACCTTTCACACGTACAGGATCGTTCTTCCTTTCCCAGGATCTTCCTTTGCCGTTCCAGGTTGCCACCGTTCCTTGTAGGCTGTTTCAAGCAGTGTGTTTGGCCACTCAACCGGCTCACTCAAAGTTCACCAGGGGAGAGAGCTGTTCCCAATATTTTTTATATTGTGCAGGATCTTGCACGCACAATGTTCATGCCCAAATCATTGGGCTCCCCACGTCCCACGCCGTGTGGACAGCACTTGAAGCATCATATGTGGCTCACTCTCAAGTTCGCATTCTTCAACTACGTATGGAGTTATAGTCTATGAAGAAAAGGTCAGATTCCATCCACAAATGCTTCTATCGAGCAAAGAAGATTGCTCACCAGCTTGCCATTGACGAGCGTCCCATATCAGATGATAACTCATTCTTTAAATTCTTGGAGGCTTAACCTCCGAATACGGTCCTTTCCACACCCCCATTTCAACTCGGGCAGATTCTTATCCCTTTCCGATTTATTGGGTCACCTCCATCTCTCAAGATGCCATTCCTTCAGAAATCTCCCCAGCATGTGGTCTCGATGATGATTGCAACAATCGAAATTGAGAGGACCCAGTTGGCCCAAGCACTGGTGAAAGGCGTAAGCAAACCGTCAAAGGTTTGGGCAGTTAAGGTGGTTGCAACCGTGAAGCTGTAAAAAGGAAATGAAGATTCGTCAAATGACATTTTGCATTGTATGTAGCTTTCGATTAAACAGATCAAAGCAGGGATAGCCATGATGTTGAGGGCTATATCAAAGAAATACACAACGCGTTGAGTGAAACTTAAACTTGTCATGGTGATACGGTCGAAGGCAAGGGAAGCATGGACATCCAAAGACCTTAAGAAAATTATAATCTGGTGTCTAGTGGAAGAGTTTGTGGAATGGAGTATCATGACTGACAATCTTGAAGAGAAGGCAATTGATCAAATATGTTGTTGTTTGCCTGTTTGCAATACAACGTCCCAAAATTCAAACGGAATAAATGCTTGAGCCAACAGGGCAAGACCAGTTTCCACAATGTGTTGGTGCTTCCATTCAGAGGCACTATTTTGTTGGTGGTTGTGTGGACAAGAGGCATGGTGACCAATTCCATGTTGTTTTAGATAAGTGGAAATGATACCGTATTCACCACCCCAATCACTATGCAAATCTTTGATCTGTTGGGAGAATAGATTTTTAACTTATGGTGTCCAAATTTGATAGCACTAATTTTATATCAATTCAATTTTATTTAAATAACTTAAATTTAGCAATGAAATTACTAATTTAAAACTAAATCTAAAATTATTGAACAATGACTGATTTCACCGGATAAAAGAACTTAAGATTACAACTTTCTTTGATGCTTTGTATAAATCTCTCAACTCTCTTTCCAGTTAATTAATCAAAATAAGTTGTTAACTGAGAATTCAAAATTATTTACTAAACCTCTTTTGATGGTTAAATAAAAATACCTCTCCTAATTAAATTATTATATTCCTATATAAAATAAATTGGAATAGATTCATTAAGCTCAAACTTTCTTAAAATTATACATGGCATATAAGTATATTCCTATCCTATACACAAACTCAGCTATTCAATCTTAAGAATAAATAACTAGACGCATGTTATTATATCCAAACCCTATAATTTATCTTTCAATTCCATCTAAGAAATCAAATTAATTGCTAGTCAAACAGTCATATAGTAAGCACAAAATATGATAAACAACTTGTGTATGACCAATAATAACTAAAAACGAGAGTAAATTAATTCAATTAAATATCAGGTTCCATTGCAACCTTAAGAAAAATTTAGTTCAAAAGTTAATTGAAAAACATCATTTTCAAATTAATCAACATCTCAGAAAATCAAAAACTAAAAATAAGAGAAAAGAATGAAATTGTGTTGCAATCTTCTATGTCTCTCTAGCATTCAATTTCGATCTTCTTTGTGTTTCTTCATTTGATCATTGCCTTCAATTCACTATCAATCCTTGGTTTTCCATATGCTAGCTGTCCTCCTTAATAGTATAAATATATCTCTACTTAAATCCTAACGTGTGTAGCATGAGAGTTCAATTTCTACTCAAAAACAAGTCAGAATTTGCGTCCTAAGCTGAAGCCCGTGCAATAGCCCCGCAAATCAGCGCAGTGGCGCTGATTTTTTGCATCTACAGAGCTACGACTCTACGACTAGAGTTGCAGTGTTGATCACCTTCCATGCTCGCAGTTGCCTTTGTTGCTCAGTTCACAATTAATCCAAAACTTAGGCTATTAAATGACCTTTTTTTTCTTCTAAATCATGATCCCTACAAAACAACATTAAAAAACACAAAACGAATAAAAAGAAACATAAAATATTTGAAAACTTGCAATTTCATCAAGCCAAAAATACTCAATTCGTTGGAAAAAAATCCACTCATCAAATACCCCCAAACTTAAATCTTTGCTTGTCCTCAAGAAAAATACTAACAAAAAACATAAAGATTAACTCTAACAACCAACTACTCAAACAATGAATTAATATGAATCTGAATAAAAATTCAACTAATAATTCAAGGAAAACTTCAAAATCGTGCAAAGTATAAAAATTCAATATACTCCTTACTTTTATCTCTGCTCATGACCCTTTAAATGCATGTGTACATCCGAACTGTTCAAACTAGTTATAACCAAGATAAATCTAAGTAATCAAATGCCTAATGGAAGATACTCAATATCAACTCTATGAACTTACATTTCATATCAATCTCTGATAATTAAGGCACAACATATAACTAGAAGGTATGAAGACTTTTTTTTTTTCATTTGTCTATCTTTTTTTTTTCTCTTCGTTCGGTGAGTGCATTTTATGCTCCATCTCACCTCATATTGAATGAGTGTGTTTTATAATCTATCTCACCTTCTCTTCAACGAGTGCATCTTATGCTCCATCTAGTTCTCAACATGTGTTTATGCGTGAGTGCGTTTTTCGCTCCATCTCTACTCACCACATGCCCCTTTCTTTATTTATTATTATTAATTTTTTAACTCATGAAGGTTCAATATCACAATAATTTTCAAAAACTTCCCTTTTTTTTTTCAATTAACCCATCATATCAAAATTTTTTCCCAAACTTATATATGAATACCTGAATTTTACTTTGAACGATGCTTAAATAAGTTTTCTAGAGTTTTAATGATATCTTCCACAAGCATTTAACCAAATAAGTTATCTAAATAATAACAAACCAAACAGATGGATATGTGCTTATGAATGAAAAAATCACAAACAATGTAAAACCAACTAGTACGTCAAACTAAAAACTCAACATGTTCATGAATTTTCCTTGAATTAACAATTAATCTCATTCATCACTGGCTATAATCAAATTCAATCACCCATTGCTCAAGTTGTACTAAAACATGCTATCTAAATGCATACCAAATTCAAGCAAGAAAATACCCCCAAACTTAAACTAAACATTGTCCTTAATATATAAAATAGGAAGAATTAAGATAGAGGACTTCCCTGAGACTACGTTAGTTGGCATCATTGTTAGCGTCCTCATCACCCGTTGAGTCGGAAGTGTATTCGAGAAACATAGGTGGAGTAGGAAACTGCAGTGGAGGTGTGCCTGAGTTGAAACCATAGTTATTAAACATCTGAGCTAGCATGAAGAATTGAATTCCGTTGAGTACTCCATGAACGAGTCCAGTCGATGTGCAAGTCGATCATTGTGTCTAGATTAACGTTGAGATTCCCTACGTAAGTCTTGAGTCTCCCAGCATAACTCCTGTGTTTGTCGACATAATCCTCGCAGTTCATCAACTAGACTCTCCTTAGGTAACTGAGATGAAGCAGCAGCAGGCTGAGGAAGCTCTGATGGTTCCGCCGAATCCTGAGGCATATCAATGACAACATAACTGGCACCCCTATGGTTAGAAAAACCACCCTTCCACACCTTCAAACGGATGATGATTTGATGGTCAATTAGCACTTTTGGGTGTTGAATAAACTCATTGTCACTTCATGTGAATTTTGCATGCCTTTTTACATAGCCAACAAATTTATAATGGATGAGGCATCTCGCTAGTTGAACTCCCCTTAATAGCGTGTGTGATCGAGTCCTGAATAACTTGGCCCACATTTATGCTTTTTCCTTGAACCATGCAATAGAGCAGTACTGCCCTGTCCTTGAGTACATCACTAATGTGTGTGGTTGGCATTAGCTTAGCACATAAAAATTAGTACCATGCCTTTCCAAACTGGTTTAGCTTGCTGTGTTAAAAGTGAAGCATTTTAGTTCCCTTTAATGTCCACTTAGCACCGGGCCTACACAAGCACTTAATCACCTCGGCTAAATTGAGCTCTTCAGTCTTGTATTTTGTAAACTCATCGTCGTCTGACATATTCTCTATGTTATAATAAGCGTTGATGCGTGCCTTGTCAAACAACACTGCTTTGCCCTCAGACTTGAACCAAATGGTTTTCGGCCTCTTTGGCATTGGCATAAGACTCTTTTACAATGGGAACTATACCAGCTCCAGCTGTTCTGTGAAGTCTAACCAAACCTGCTCCATAATCATGTCATATACGCACCCATCATATGTCTCATATGGGCGAAGGCCTCATTCGGGAATCAATTCCTTTTTTGCCAACAATGTATGAAATCGCTCTGAAGTCGCTTCACTAACAAACCTCGTTTTGTCATATGGATTGGAGGATTCAGAGCTTTCCCCTCTTTGGCATTTTGAAGACATGTTGAATAATCACTTAAGTAGCCCAACAAAACCAAATCCACAGAGTATACAAACTAGCTAACTACTAGTTGTCTCCACTGAAGCAATTTATCAAACACCTTGTATGAACTACCCAACTCTTCATTACTAAGCCACCCCAAATCTCATAATCTCCACCAAATAAACCACAAACCGACCTCCCCACACAACAACTCAACAAGATAACTCCTAGTTAATGCAAAGGACAAAGATTATTACCTTACATTGTAAAATTTTGACACTGTGGAGATGATGGAGAACCCTTGCTGCTACTTGCTACTAATTAAGGCAACTTGAGATGGAAGATTGTTATATATATAAGAGATTGAGACTTCCAAGTTGATGATTAAGAATTATGATTGATTTGGAGTTGGAGGAAAGAGGTTTTAGGGCTTGAGTTTTAGAGAGTAGGAGTAAATTTTGTTTGCCCTAAATCCCTGAGTTTAGCGCTTTTGCCTTGTTTTAATTGCTAAATTCAATGGACAATGCTGTTGCACTGAGGATGGCGTTCAGGCACTAATTAGGAAGCAGCTTAGCGCTGAGGCGTTGAAGACAGTGTTGTTTCACTGGATGAGGAGCTGTGGACAGTGTTGCTGCACTGAATATAGCACTGCTGCGCTATGTTGGCAATAAGTTAGCGCTGAGGCGCGACATTGGTTGAGTCCCTTAGCGTTGTTACTCTGTTTTTGCAATAAGTTAGCACTGAAGAGATGTTTAATAGCGCTATTGCGCTGTTCATCCAATGGGTTAGGGCTGAGGCACTACACTCTAGTGCTGCGGCGTTATGTTATTGATCTTGATACCTGAAAGCAATTGACACACTAATTAAAATGCACTAACTATCTAATATTATAATTACTCCTAAAAAAC